TCTCTTGACCCCGTCGTCCCTCCCCTACGTCCAACATCTCTGGATGCCCTGCAGTGTGGAAAATACACAGATCACATGTTTAAATTCACCCAGTCCTTCCATCAGCCGTGTAGATGTTTGAGGATTTAAGGGAATAGAACTGCTTCTCAAAAATAACTGTAGGTCAGGGAACGATGAAAACGAGAGTGAAAAAAACAAAAAAACAGCAACAAAAAAAACAGCATAAGTAATAAGCGGTTGAAGTGGAAAATGGATGCACTGCCCCAAGAATTACAGACCACTCCTGCAAAAACAAGATAAAACATTGTCTTGGCTTTATTTCAAGTTCAAATCTTTCGTTTTTCCATCTTCCTGAAGCGCAGACTTCTCGCTAATATTGCCGTTTTAACAATATCTTAGAACAATTACCTGACCTAATCTTATCAGAGCCGCTCTGCCTTCTGCTTTCCTGCCCTGCAAATAAAAATACAAAATGAAAAAAAATAGAACAACACACACCCCAAACATGTGCAGGACTCAGTGAAGAACACGAACAACTGGAGAGGAAAAAGAAATAAACGAATGGAGCCGTTTTTCAAACGTCCAGGGAGAGCATTGTTGCTCTTGAGGTCGGGGGAAGTTCAGAAAAGTTCTCTGTGTGCGCCAAGTTGGCCCGCGGGGCCGTTTACTACAGCAGACGGTGTTCCTGCGCTTTCCGCCGTGCTGCTCAGCGCCGGTGCAGGTAAGGCCGGAACGAGCCGGGAGGAAACCTGAGAGGGAAACCGAGCCAACGGGCTTTGAAACGAGCAACAGGGGAGGCGGCGGCTGCGGCGCGTCCCAACGCCATCAACGCCATTCCTCCACGTCGACGAGCCAAGATGTCAACTTTTTGGGAGGTCAAGGCAAAATCATTGTTCAGCCACAAGTTACTGTAAATAATAGTATAACTATGAAATGACCTTTTAGAATCATGTCGTATTCCTGGGTGTTTGGGTTTTGCTTTGTGTGAATTTCATTTCTGTTTATTATTCCTTTCATTAAATAATGTTTATTGCATTCTGTGGCCAGATTAGTTTGTTTCTTTATGTTTAGTTTTCTTGTTTTCTGCTTTTTGTTTGCCGTCACTGAAGCTCTTAGTTTTATCCCAGGCTAGTTGAATCAATGTGTTCAATGGAAACACTGCAATTTAAAAAAAAAAAAAAAAAATTTGATCAAATGTTTTGATCAAAACATTTGAGACGTTTTTTTTTGTTTGTTTTTGTTTTTTTTGGACTCTTCAACATTGGTTTATTTTTGCATAACTGCAATGGAAATACTTCTTTCACATCGTATGAGTCACATGATCAACAACCGGATGTTGCCACTGGCGCAAACTGCGAAGAAGAAGACAGGAAGTGGTCGGAGGATGACGGGATCAGCTTTTAGAGACCCATCCTGTGAACAAAAACTTATTCAATTGTGTCTCTTTTTTATTTAATGGAAACACTTCAATTGCAAGACTGTGGTGTTTTATTTTTCGAACGTTAGCGAAACATCTGTAAAGTTTTCGTGTATTTGTAATGGGAATGCAGCTTGGGATTCAAGTAGGAGGCAATATTGTTTATGTAAATATATTATAAGACTGAATGTTCAGAGCATTTGGAAACTTTCCACTTTTTTAAGTAAATCTCACACAATGGCTGCAGGGGCTGCTGTATCCTCAGCAGTGCCCTCCGTCTCTCATCGCCTCACGCAGGTGACAATATGAAGTGTGTGTTGAGTGTTTCACTGCAATAGTCAGCCTCCTGTTTACCTTGCTTCCTTATTGCATGAAGGACAATAGAAGGAAATGTAGCCCACAGTGACATGTGCCAATAAATTTACCGTTGACCTGGCAACAAATCAAAACGCCCAATGAAATGCGGCTGAGCTGATGCGGCGGTCGGACCCAGACACTGAGGCTCTTCTGTTTGGCTGGACTCAGCTGAGTGTGAAAAACGAGCCGAGGAGAATCTGGCTCTGTTTGTGAGAGCGGGCCCGTTCGGACCGGGAGATTCCAGTACATTAGCTGTGGAATGAAGCAGACCTGCTGCAGGACTGCAGAAAACACAGCGACTTCATCCGATCATTGTCCTCCATGTTTTATCTGCTTGTCTTTACTCAACGAGATCGAGTTAATATTTTACAAAGTAAACATTTCTTTAGGGACACACCAACACAAACTAGAGCGTAACAGTGACGCATGTTTGGCCACAAAGACCTAAAGAACTAACACAGCGTACAGTCACATGAAACATGATGAAATGAAAGATTTCTTTAAACTAAGGCAGTGCCAAGATGGCCGATACTGTTACCTGATATTAATGCTGCTGTTATAACCAGTAACTCCTAATTGGATGGATGGATGGATGGATGGATGGATGGATGGATGGATGGATGGATGGATGGATGGATGGATGGATGGATGGATGGATGGATGGATGGATGGATGGATGGATGGATGGATGGATGGATGGATGGATGGATGGATGGATGGATGGATGGATGGATTGAAAAAGCACACAGCTGACATTGTTTCTCTGCTTTAGATAAACAGCCAGTGGTTCTGCTCCATCACTGTCTCATTACCAAAACCCAATAGAAGCAACAAACAGCAACAGTATGGAAATAAACATTAATATCTGACCAGTTTTAGTTATCAGATGTGTTCGCCAGGCACATAGTACAATTTCAGAACACCAAGAGAAATATCTTACATTCAGTTGTTATTAAAATGCTTTATAAATTGAATATGACTTTGTAATTTCAATGCCTTGAAATCGGCCTTCTGTCTCTTTAAGAAAGTCGTGTTCTTTCTGAAACTCTGCCTTCAGGAAGTCATTGCAACATGGCTCCTCAATTAACTCTTTAACAACATATTTACCAGTGTTGCACTGAGAGGTGGCTCCTATAACCAGCTCAGCAGACGCTCAGTCCCACCAGGTGTTTGCTGATTGCTGCTGGCTAGTCTGAAGGAGCAGAGTGGGGGAGTCACAGAGGAGAGCTGCTCTGTAATGAAGCTCAGAAACTGCAGCTCTGAGGAGGAGCTCTGCCCTCGAAGGCGGAGCTAGGTCCATCCAGGCGTTTCGCACAGTTGAATGGTTGCCACGGGAGACTAAAGGATTTCTCACACATGCATAAAAAATGAATCTGACTTCATAAGGAAATGTTTTGACAGCCAACTTTTAAAAGGCAGTCTCTTCTCTTTGATGTTCCAGACTAGGTCGCCTTTTGATTCCAGTCTTTTAATCAAGAGAAAATATTTCTGTTCATAAGTATCCTTGGTTTCTTCAAGCTTTCTGGAAATATCTCCGAAGGTTTGATGTCAGAGGAAGGAGAATTTGATTCCTAATATTTTGTGTGTTGCGTCTCCCAAAAATGGCCATGAAACTGTTTTGTTAATGACGGTTACACTTTTATTTTCCACAATGATTTATCGTCTGATGTGTTTTCAGCACAAGCAGAGCAGAGCAGAGCGGTAATGAAAACAAAGAAGCTCCATGTTTACATAAATAAGGGTTTTAGATTAAGATTTTTTTCTTTTTTTTTTTTTTGCTTGTTTAACCTGAAAGCTTCACACAAAGGGAGGCGTTTCCTGCCATTGAGTGTTTGGTGCTATCAAACATTCCCGTGTACCTCGGCTCAGGATAAGAGCAGAGCCTTTATCTGTCTCAGTGGAACAAGAGAACCTCACAGGTCAACGAAAAGGATGGCAGGACAGCAGGACGGCAGGACAGCAGGACGGCAGGACAGCAGGATGCATCGCGGGGCCCATTTCACAATTCACTAATTCCCTTTAAAGCACTGATGTGTTTCAAATTGTCTGTGACACGTCACCGTTTTGCTTTTCGCCTGAACTGCTTCTTTTAAACATTAGCTATTATACATAAGCTTTAATGAATAAAATACAATTTATATATATATATATTTCCATCCATTTTCTGATCACCCTTTGGGAGTTGCTGGTGCCTATCTCCAGGAAAGACCAATTAACCTGACAGTCATGTTTTTGGACTGTGGGAGGAAGCCGGAGTACCTGGAGAGAACCCACCACGCACAGGGAGAACATGCAAACTCCATGGAGAAAGACCCCGGGCCGGGAATCGAACCCAGGACCTTCTTGCTGCAAGGCAACAGTGCCACTGTGCAGCCCCAGTGTAATTCAGACAAATGCAATTGTTTTTCATAAAAAAAAATAAATCTAGTACATTCATTTTATTTATAAACTACATGGCACAAGTTGAGGTGCATATCTGAATATATTAGAAGTGAAAGTATTAGTAATGTTTGTGTCACTCTCTGCAAATGGGCCCACGCGTCTCTCTACGCCACTGTGGGTTTTTATATAGACAATGATCACTTCCTATGGGCTCTTTGCTCTCACTGTTTACTCATTCCCTCGGTTTCTCTGGGCGCGGTTGAGTCTGGAAGGCAGATAAACCAAAAAGGTCTGAGATGGGCGCAGGGGCGTGAGCTCGCATGTGAGCTGTCGCCACTGGATGGAAACGCCCGACGTTTCCTGCTCCACTGATGAAAGCCGTTTGATTCCGTGGCGACACGCGTCAGCGGACTGTCATCGACCTGAGAAACCCTGCCATGAGTTTACCAGGCTGACCCTCATTTCAGAAGAGGAAACACAGAGCATCCAATAAAAAAATGGGAACCCCGACTCTCGTTTCATTCCACTTCAACAAAACCCAAGTGAAGGACTCTGGAGGTCAGAAGGTTTTAGAGATGAAATACACAGTGACCCTTAAAACGTCTGAACGAAGGCGGCGCCACAGAGAGAGAGGAATGGAGTCACAAACAGATCTGGACGTGGAAAACCAACGTCTCTGGGTCATTGTCAATAAATTATTACATTGTTGTTTTGAGGATTCTGGCTCAGAAAACAAGAATCTTACATTCAGATTAGCAACAAAAGAGTTTTCATCCAGAAATGTGAGTCAACTACAAAGTATGTCCATGTACTGCACATTGTATGTAGTCAATATTTTCTCAATACTCCTTGACGGAACCTTATAGATTTTCGATGGCGTTCGGGTCAGACACAGGAATACCTGGACTGGCATCAGCCGCAAAACCCGACTCCAGTCCACATCTTGTTATTCTCTCCCAAACTCTTGAGGACTTTGTTCTCCATTTTCCTTCCACTAAACATCCATAAATATGCTGGGACACTTGGAACAGACGGCTACCGTAGCAATGTGCTTTTGTGGCCCACCATGTTTGTGGAGACCAACAAAGAAGGATTTCTGGAACACAGATCTGTTGAGAGATTAGTTCAGAGACATTAGACCAGGAATACATGTAAACACCAACCTCTGAGGACCAGAGATGTGAAGAAGATGAAAACTCCTGCAGTTGCCTGAGCCAACCCAAAGGCAATCAGAAATGTTCAACCTTCGGGGAGTTGCCACATGTGAACTCTGCACTGATGCCGGTAGCATTGTTTCAGTAACAAGTCAGAAGAACTGGCAGCCTTTGGCGTGTTCGCAGATTTGCAGCAAACACTTTTTGCAAGGTAAGATTAATATCAAAACATTTCTGAAGCAAGTAACATGGCATATGGAGAAGGTACGCATCCAATCATTCGAGAGAGTTCTCCACCATGTAGCCCAAAATAAAACCGGTAAGCATCTCTACCTTTCTAAGGAGAAAAGCTGTTTTTGACAAACTGCTATATCACTCATTCAATATAAGCTGCTCTCCAGATTCTGGAGGCGCTGGGTGGATTAGAGCTCATGGAGACTTACGTTGATAATCCACACAGACGTACAGGAAGTGTTGCAGGCAACCATTAGAAAAACAGAGAATCAACTACTGGAGCTAAATGAATAAAACTTAATCGAACAATCATTATCATGCGTGTTCAGGCCTGGCAGGCTGTTGTGTGTCGGCAGCAGACACACAAAGTGATTATGGTGCCGCTTTGAAATGTCTCTCCAGGAACCGGTCAGTGGATGAGAGGAAACAGACAAGTACAACTGTGTTTGCATAATGCTGAGCTCGTTCAGTGGTATTCCAGGTTATTGTGCTCTTTTCCTGCTCACTACCAACAGGATGAGGTGGACATCCAAAGCCAGTAGCCGGTCGGCAGCCTCTGCACTCCTCACTGGAAGCAGGAAAGCGGAGAGAACCCCTCAGCCGTCACAGAAAGGCAGTTTCCACCAGAAAAACCTGAAACTTTTCTTGACCTGTTGGACTGGTAAAGTAAAAAGAAAATCTGGAATGAAGAATGAAGGAGGAGGCTTTGATTTAAAGCAAACATACCTTACTGTGCTGCTGACTCAAACTCACCCTCAATACGGAAACACTGTTGGCGCCGGGCTTTCTAGGACTATTGCCAATGTACCAGAAAGTTTCTCTCTCTGTTAAACGTAACGTCCCCACCCACAATATAGTAGGCCTGGAAAAAGCATGAATGTCAATTGCTCATTATGAAAACCTTGATTGTTTGAACAGCGTGAACAAAGAATGTCCTTTCTTACACCCCTACCACTCCCTTCCCTTCTCTTCCATCTCACCACATCCTCCAACACCTCTGCAGGGGGAACCACCTTCTTTGTTCATCGCAGTTGGTTGACATTAAAGTGATAAAGCAGCTTCTTGGCGTACAACAAATCACAGCCTCATTGTGCTCATGCGGACGGATTTCTTCCGTCTCTGAGTCGCCCTGGGAGGAAATCGATAAGGTCCGGTTGTAGATTGTTCGACCGATCCATCGCCTAAAATGGAGCAATGGAAATATAGCTTACCAACATGTTTATGGAAGGTTGTCATGGCAGCTTTCTACATGTGGGACGGGGGGGGGGAGGGGTTGGGGGGGTGAAGGAAATCTATTCAAACTCCTGGTTCCAAACTTCCTCCTTGGAGCCTTAGCGCTTCCCCCCCCACCCTGAGGAAAAAGATTAATACGATGAATGCTTTACAAGTGATTACTGATTTATACAGACTATAAATATGTCTGTTGTGCCTACTTCAGTAGCTATTCTAGGAGCAGACCTTAGGATGTTTGTCCATCTGAGTCAGGGTCTTTCCTGGAACTAGGTTTTGTTGCATTTATTGTAACGGATGTTTCTATCATTATACAGTTATCATAAACGCCTGCCATCATATTTCAAAGCCATAATTAGCTGCCTTAGTGGCCACTCAGAGGAAGTGTGAAGAGTTCAATATGTAGACGTTTGACGGTCAGTTGGCGGAGCAGCACTGAAGACGGCGCGTTGCATCAATTTCCACGTCTCAGAATAGTTTTCAAAGTCTCCTGGCGAACTGATGGCGTGTTCTGATGCAGACCGAAGGTCTAGCCAAAGTAAGTCCACATAGTAACAGGAACGTTGACTGGTAATGTCTGATAGAGAGTTGGAGTCCACAAACATGGACGCTTTCAGAATGAGTTCCTTCATTTGACTTTTGCTGTTCAACCCAGTCAGTGTTCATCTGACCAGCTTTCATCAGGAAAGAGGTTTTTCCATTTCCTTCCAGCTCTCAGTGATGTCACATCCGTTTCCATGGGGACCTGGCATTTCTAATAACTTTATAAAACTTCTTCACGCAAAACACTGACTTAACCCTTTAAGTTAAGTACAACCTGATATGGTTGTGCACAGATAATGGATATCAAATGACCAAAAGAAAACCGCAAATGTTCAAAATAGAAAAATGACAAGACGAGACAGAGACAAAAAATATGAAATTTTGAAGATTTTTTTGTTTTGTTTTGTTTTTTCTTTTACTGAAAAACTGCTGCTGGGATCATTAGCCGTCAATGCGAGTTGGACCCAAATCAGAAATTTCATCCTATGTCTTTGGGGAAGTCAGACTTGTTTCCAACAGAGGTCATCCTTAGAGAAAATCAGCTGCTGGTCAGTTCAGTCTTTAGCCGTTTTGTGCCCGATTCTTTTGGTTTTTAAGCTGTTTCGCACCGACCACACAACAATTTCGCAGAGCAGGAACATTTGTCACCCACTCTGACAACCGATGAGCACAGTGCCTGTCTACGTTTCACTCATAAATCTGGTTTTATGAGTCCAATAAATGACGCCTTGATCGTCAAAATCATTTCAACCATAAAGGATTACAAAGTGCTCAGAAAATAATGTGCAATGGCATGAAACTGGACCAAAGCTTTATGCATTTCTGTAGGAAAAAAAACAAACAATTATGGCACAAATGAATCAACAACAAAGACTATTGACAACAATGGCATCCGTAGAAGAGTTCAAATGTCAAAATCCAAGTCAAAGACTGTTGGGAAAAATTTTCTGTAGAGAGGAAAAACAAAATGAAACCACTTCAGGCGACTCATGTCTTGTTTTGTAAAACTTCCAACACATTTGGGACGTGATGCCAACAATCCAACATGGTGGACGAGATGAGATGAAGCTGCTTTGCTGGGGCGGGAACCTGAACGATAGAATATGAAGGTTTCGGTTTGGGTAAAATATCTTTCAATTAAGTGGATATATAGTATATGGTTATTTTTTCATACTCAACATGAATATTTGGGGCCCTTCAGAAACATGGAGCCAAAGGACAAAGTTTTCATTGACTTCATCTCCTTCTAATCAGATCCAGACTCTCTTCTTTAGCCTCAAGGAGCTCAGAGACTCTGACCTGATTCAGCCTCTGAGCTCTGGATCCTTTGGATCAGCGGGATATTTCCCAAAGTCCGAAGAATTAATAATCTGGGGTTTCTGGGTGATTCTCTTCCCGTGAGACTTCAGCGCAGGTCGCAGCTGGTTCTGAAAGCGGGTTATGAGGCATCGAGTTATTTGTCATATGAAATATTCATGTTGCGTGTGTGTGGTGGTTGTGATGGGCAACTTTCTTTCGAGATCAGGGATTGAGCAATCTGACCACCACCTCTCCCCCCACACCACCCCCCCCCCCCCCCCCCCCCCCCCCACACACACACACACACACACACACACACACACACACACACACACTGGGCTGAGCGGAAACTTCCTTCCTGACTCGGACCAGCGCAAAAACAAACACGGCGAGGAATGTATAAATGCGACTCCGTTTCAGCTTCGGATAATCGATTGGAGCCGTTCGATACAACCCGGACGTCCCCACTAGAAGTCACCCTCATTCTACCGCCATGAATCTCGCGGCTCCGGCTCTGATTTTCTGCGCCCTGCTCCTGCAGGAAGCCGCCGCCTCTCTGCGCGCCAGCTGCTCCGGGGAGCTCTGCTGCTTCCAGAGCCCAGCGGACTTCGAGGCCGCGGAGAGAAACTGCAAAGAGACGAACGGAAAGTTGATCCAATCCGACGAGCAGATGGACGCGTTGAAGCGTCTGGCGAGAACGTTGACGGGGAGGTTCTGGCTGCGCGGTGGTACAAACTGCACCGCCGTGTCCGTGGGGGCCGGGCCCGGGGTCTCCGTAGGGCCGGAGCCGTGCCGAAGCACCCTGGACGGATTCTTGTGTCTGTTTGACTCCTCTTCGGTTTGCGGAGCCTTTCAGAGCAGCGGAGGCACGTCGGTCACGTACAGAACCGTGACGGGCTTTGACGTGTTGGAGTCTGAGACGTTTCCCCCGGGTACCGTGGCCCTGGTGGGACGGCCCGGCGCTCAGTACCCGGACTCCAAGCACCTGTGCTCGTCCACATGGTTACCGTCTCCGTGGTTCTGCGAGGTCTTCCAGGGCGGCTGCGATCACGGCTGCAACAAAACCTCCAACACCTGCACGTGTCCGCTCGGGCGCTCTCTCCATCCCAACAACATCTCCTGCACGGAGCCCACTGCTGCCGTTCCCCCGGCTCAGACCCAGCGCTGCCCAAGGGGCTACAAGCCGGCGGCGGACGGCAGGCGATGCGAGGACGTGGATGAGTGCGCGGAGGCGCCGGATCTCTGCGCAGGTGAGGGCGAGCAGTGCGTCAACCTGGACGGGAGGTACGAGTGCAGGTGCGCCGGCGACTTTGTGGAGGAGGACGGCGGCTGCGTCAACACGTCGATCTGCTTGCTGTGCGAGCACATGAAGTGCGATAAGGTCGGCGGGGTGTACCGGTGCGGGTGCAAGGAGGGGTTCCGGGTGTCCCCCAAAAACCCCACCGAGTGCGAGCAGGACTGCAGCCAGGGCGCGTGCCCCGCGACCTGCGCCAGCAACCCGGCGCCGGACAAGAAGGACATGCAGCAGTGCTTTTGCCCCCAGGGCTTCATCCTGGACCTCGGGGACTCCCCCACCTGCCACGACATCGACGAGTGCGACTCACAGGCGCTCTGCGACCACGAGTGTGTGAACCTGCCCGGTGGGTTCAAGTGTGCGTGCAGGAAAGGCTACCAGCTGCAGGACACTGAGAAGTGTGTTCGACTGCAGCAGGGAGGGGAGGAAGAGGAGGAGGAGGAGAGCGCATCGGGGTCTCCTCTTGATCTCGCCAGTACGCCGGTCAGCCTCCAACCCGCCGCCTTTCCGTCTTACGTTAAGACCGGCAGCGTCCTGGGCATCATCGTGTTCCTGGTACTGTGCGCGGTGCTGCTGGCCTGCGTGGTGAAACAGGCGTTCAGACGCTGCATGTCGCTGGAGCTGAACTCCTTAAAACACCCGAACATCGACATTTTCTACCTGCAGCAGGTCACAACGGAGACGTACAAAAGATTGTCGTTCGACAAGCAATGTAGAAACGAGCCGCAAAGAGACTGAGGGGAGCGATGCACCGATCAGATGCCCGTACCGATGCAACGTCCGATTCGTGCGATGTTTCGATTTTTCTCTCAAAACATAAAACCCAACTGTGCTCCAGGTACAATGATAATTCCTTTCTACATAGTAGAAAGGAATTACAAAACTCCAAAGCATAAAAATTGATTTATTTTATTATATAAATAAAAATATAAAAGAAAACATTATGTGTTTACGGACCAAAATTATGATTTTTTTTCTCCTTTTTTTTGTTTTTTAGCTGTGAAGCATTTCATGTTAAGATTTGCAGCCTATTATTAATTAGAGAAAATCGGTGCGTTTGGATCGGGCTGATCGGTGCATCCAGGTTTGTCCTTGGAGGCAGAAAACATCCTGAGGTCACATCATGTTCAAAACATGGAAGTCATACAATTAGTGAAGCGAGAAATGAAAAAAGCTCTAAGATTTATGTGTTTGGGGTTGGTTTTTGGTTTTGTTTTTTTAAACAGAAGTAAAACTAATTTTGTCCCATTTATTAAAAAAAATAAAATAAATCTTCAGTTAGATCAGTTTCCAGTCAGGTACCGGACAGTTGCCTCAAGCTGCACTTCCCAACATTTCCTAAACGCGCAACATTCCACATACCTATTTGCTGCATTTCTGAAGTTTATTCTGCTTTAATTCTCTTAACAAAGTTACATTTAATGTAAAGCTAAAAAAACAAAAACAACAACAGATCGACACTGGATGTGACTGAAGAAGAAGAAGAAAAAAAGAGCTGCCTGATTGATGGACCTTTGACCCCAGAACTGCAGATCTTATTGGGAGAACAGCTGACTGATGAGTCGGGAGCCATAAATATAAAGTGACATTTATGTTAACAGTTGATGAAAGCTGGACTTTGGGTTTTTAATGACCTGAATCGTGTAAAAAAAAAAAAAAAAACAGAAAAAAAACAACTGTGTGACAAACAAACTGTGAAATGACTGTCACTGACTAGTGAACCAGTTCGTTATCATGGTCTGTACACTGCTACTCATAACCTCACTGTACCAGGCTGATTCTCACCGGTCAGCTTCATATGAATGTAACACTGTGCTGCTATTCCATGTATTACAGCTGCAAACATCTGTACGGCAAGCCTCTTTGTTCAAAGTCACGGTTTACTGTGTATTTGTTTCCTAGTTTCTGAAGAGTTCATGTTTGCTGTCGTCCAATTGAGTATTTGGATGACAGCAAAAGATTCCCCAGTAATTCTTGTGATTATTATTTTTTACCTTAGCGGGTCATTTTTCTTCCATAGAAAGAAAAATCTGGTCACGTTCAGCACCGCTGACGTTTTCCTGTATGAAGCTCTTTGTTAAGCTTATTTCCTCACTTGATCTTGGAGGATTTATTGAACTCCACATTTCCAGTGTGAGAATCTTCACCACTAAAACTGTTTTGTAAATCAATCAATAAAAATGAAACCAACAAAGGCCTGACAGAGTCGATCATGGTTGGTCATTTTCTCTATTTCTCACAGTTTAATGGTGGAAAAAAATTAAGAAAATGTTTTATTTTGTATTAAAACAAAGATTCTTTTTTTTTTTTAATTTAATTTATTGTTTTTTAAGATAAAATGTTTCAAATCCTCATTACAGGACCGTAAAAGAGAAGACACTTCTCAATTTAATGAGGGGCCAAAACTGACTCAAATTGTGTTTCATCCAACTAGTTGACATGTTAAAGTGTTGGGGATGCTACCGGCTGGAGCTAGTTAGCCTCACAGACAAAATAGTGTTTTGAATAGCAGTTAGTTATATTAATAAAAAAGGTTTTAAAGCCAAACCGGTGACAAACGTGTCAAAAACCTGCCACAAAGATGGACGATTCTGCCTCAGCTCCGGTACTTGTTGGTTTTCTGACCAGATTTTTAGAGAAACTGTGAGACTAGTCGCCAAAGATGTGGACGTCTTTGTGCTGTTGTTGCGTTTTGCTGTTTTGCAGAAAGACGTTGCACCAGTGCAACGTCTTCCTGCTGCAGTAGAGCAGAGCAGTAGCGAACGGCTTGGCCAAAATGTCGGCCGACGTCAAGGACGTTGAGTGTTTCGGTCCAACTTCTTGCCAGATTTTGCAAAACTGAAAGAAACCAACACCAGAACCGACGGCTGGTTAACTGTCTGACCGGCGATCTCTCCTGTGAAGACTCAGTATGCGTCGCAGGATTTGACTGATCACTCCGACGCACAGCTTTAAGAAATACTTGCTAGTTGGTGAGTTATTGACATGTCAGGTCAATAACTTACTAATAAACTCTGGTATGTGAGGAAGAGTTCTAGTTTGGGACTTTTTGTGCTTAAAATATGTAATAATGAACTAATGAGAGCAAATATCTAGGCAGGTTTAGTGACAAACCTTATTGTGAGGAGGAAGACCATAATCCTGACAGTTCTCCAGAATATCAAGTATTTACACCAACTGCTTGCCATACTGGAGAGTCACGCTGGCCGGGGGAGAGTTGGGAGGGGCCACGAGGACATATAAGGGTCTTTCGGGGGGAAAAAAGTTATGCGTCATCCCGTACGATCCGTGCGTAACTGTGGATGTGAGGTGCAGGCGCAGCGAGCTGTCCGTTACTCAGAGCGCCTTCCTTCCTCTGCCGGGCCCTATTATGGAGCTTGGGGTTTATAAATACCACCTAAATAGTTCTACAAACAGAGTCAAAGGGTTCCCGGAACGCGCCAGAACTTAAACGGGGCAGAGCTGAGATCCAAGCATGTTGTTTGTGTCGATGCTTGTTTTCCTCCTGGGAAAAGATGCGGGCGCAGAGCGGAACAGCGGCTACTGCATCGGGAACGCGTGCTTCACTCTGTTCCGGGGAACCAGCACTTTCAGCTCAGGGCAGCGGATCTGCAGAGACCAGGGCAGCCACCTCATGACCGTGCGGACCTCCGTGTCCAGCGACGTGCTCTCCGTCCTGCTGGGAAACCTGACCGGCAGCTTCTGGATCGGCTTGCACCGCCTGAGCGGCTGCCCGGACCCGTCGGAGGAGCTCCGAGGCTTCCAGTGGGTCACCAAGGACGCCGAGAGCGACTTCGTCAACTGGCTTCCTGACCCCGACGACAGCTGCTCCGCCGCGCGCTGCGTGTCCGTGAGCGGAGAGGAAAACTTCAGATGGAGTGAGACCCCGTGCGACCACCAAGCGGCGGGCTTCCTCTGCGAGAACAGCTTCACCGACCCTTGCGCCAACCTGCCGCACACAGCGCAGCAGACTGTGCTCTATTTGACTCCCTACGGATTCGAGGTGGAGGACATGCAGTCCTCCACCCTGCCGAGTGGAACCATCGCCACCCTTTTCCCATCCGAGGCCAAATACATCTGCGGCACGTCCAACAAGTGGTTGCGGGCTCCGTGGAGCTGCGAGATAGAGGAAGGCGGCTGTGAGTACCAATGCGCCGCGAACCCCAGCAACAAACCCATCTGCTACTGCCCGCCGGGCGAGACCTTGAGTCCGACCAACGGGATCTCGTGCCAGGCGGAAGGCGCGGGCGACCCCTGCGCGGCGCTGCGCTGCCAGCAAACCTGCTACGAGGCCGCAGGCCGGCATCACTGCGGCTGCGACCACGGCCTGCAGCTGGCCGCGGACGGCCGGACCTGCGTGGACTTCGACGAGTGCACGGACGAGCGCCAGTGTCCCGAGGAAAACTCCGAGTGCGTGAACACGCTGGGCGGCTACACGTGCGCCTGCCAGCCCGGCTACAGGTCGGTCGGCGGCAAGTGCGTGGACACGGACGAGTGCATGCTCGCGCCGTGCGAGCACGAGTGCACCAACACTCCTGGGAGCTACGTGTGCTCGTGCTTCAAGGGGTTCACGGTGGTCGAGGGGGACCCGCATAAATGCAGCCGGTACTGCGGGCAGCAGGAATGCCCCGCGGAGTGCGACCCCAACGACAAGAACCAGTGCTTCTGCCCGAACGGCTACTTGTTGGATGTGGATGAGAGGGGCTCCGCCTTCTGCATAGACATAGACGAGTGCGAATCTAATTTCTGCGAACAGGGGTGCACAAACACGTACGGCGGCTACGCGTGCTCCTGCCCCCCCGGTTTCACGTTAGTGGGTGAACACCAGTGCAAAGAGTCCACCAGCATCCCCCCCACAGATGCTGGTGGACTGTGGGGGGGATCCCCGACCCAACCAGGCCCACACCCCGACCCGACCCGGCGGCCCTCCGCGGTGACGCCCGGGGGTCTGGCGGGGATCATAGTGAGCACGGTCTTCGTCGTCCTGCTGGCCGTCATCGCGGCGCACGTGCTGCTCCTGCGCAGAGGGAAGAAGGAGGAGAGCGCAGCAGGTGCGACCAAGGAGCGCGAGGAGGAGACGCACGGCCTGCAGGGGCTGAGCGACAAGGCGGTGTAGGAGACAGACGCTTTTTGAACGAGAGGCGTGAATGAATGACGCCGTGAGAAGCAACAGACTTTAAAAAAAAAGAAAGAAAACCTCACAAACTCTCACTTTGAGGAAGAAGTCTGGCGGGATGCAGCTCAGCCAGAAGAGTAAATGAAGCAGCAACTCGCTCCAACTCGCGCACAGCCTGGGACATGCATTGAAGTGACAAAAGAAATGTTTACAGTTCTACTTTATGAACATAAATGACCATAATGACTTTATTGATTTGTTTTTTTTAAGGACTCCTTCAGTGAATTCTCGCCTCCAGTGGTGGAGTCGGTGCGCCACCTGCTGGAAAGATGTGGGCTTCTCAGCCCACATCTGCTGAGAAGCAGTGAATCTCGTTCAAAATAAAATCAATAAATACTCTTGGAAATGAAAACAAGTATTTTAAAATGTTCATCTGTTTAGTGGGTCGCTTATGTTGTCGATCACAGATGTTTGCTTTTGTTGTTTTCAGAATTATCATTGTGATTATTGGAGGTAACCACATAATTGCACAGTTTTACTTGAATAGACCATCAGATGGATCGTATCGTTAGAACAGAAGCAATTTTCATTGTCTTAAGGGAAATAGGAACATGCACTTTCAGGTTATATAATAACTTTATTATTACACAATGTGTTGATCTATTACTAACATTGTTATCAATATGCACTAGTAGAGGAATAAAAATAAGCTGAAACAAACCAATAATCAGATTGTCAAACAATGAAACCTAATTTTGCATTTTGTTGAACAAAAGGTTTTCAATCTGGATTCAGATGAGAATCATCATTGATCATAAACCCATTCAATCAACTAAAATACGACCGAAAAGTTCATTTCTTTCAGTTTCTCCCCCCCCAAAAAAGACATTTAAGATTAGAATATTACATCAAACCTGTTTGTTTTTTTCACCCTTAAAAATGGATTTAGAAATGTGGCCTGAGGAAAAGGTAGTTTAATATTTAAAACATATTTCCTTAAGCTTTAAATATTAAGCATAAGTTAATATGCTTAATATTTAAGGTGCTTTTATTCTGATAAACAAAAACTAGTTTCCCTTCAAATAAACGATAATAATAATAATAATAATAATAATAATAATAATAATAATAATAATAATAGAGGGTTAGAATAAAGGTTTGCTTGTTCCTATTTAATATCAGTCTCCAGTCACTGAAGTTTGCGCACTGGAGAAACTGTAACTTTGCGCCAACAATCCGTGATGGTCGAAGTTATTCTTGGTTTTCCTGCTGCGGCTCCCTGATATGTTAACCCGTTGTGTGCTAATCTGCCTGCGGACTCATCCTGGTTCTGATCCCGGGTGTGTGGTTTCGCCTGCCCGCTCTCCTGCGGAGCAGCAGACAGGAAGTTGGACTCTATCAGCCAACACGGAGCCGCGGAGAAAAGGGACGGAACGTGGCCAACCTCTGCCAGAAAGAGGAAGGTGAAGAGTCTTTGGCCATGAAGGAAATTGCGAATTGTGCGCGTCTTGAGAGAACAGCGGAAAAATCTGACTGTGAACAAACACACACACACAGAGACACAAAGAGAGAGAGAAGCAACGACTTGTGCACCTGGAAGAGCGAATCTCCCACCGACTCATTCAGCACCAAAGGTAAGAGCCGGTTCCCCATGTGTCCTACTCCAAGTCTGAGCGGCGGCTTTTGCACGTGACGACTGTCACTCCGCGGCTTTTTAAACGCCGTCAAAGTCCGCGGAACCTGTTGATCGCTCTGGTTTAGAGAAAGCCGAATTGCGCAATGAACGTGACGAGGCCGAACCTGAACCGAACCTTCGGGTCACTGTGTGGGAGGAGAGGGTAGGGCGGCGGCTGGTGGAGCTTCTCATCAGAAATAAAAGCAAACAGTCCAACTTTTTAGATGGAGTTAAAAAAAAGAAAGAAAAAAAAATATGAGCATAAATTACTTAGGGTTTAAGCTGGAAAAAAAATTGTTCAATTGTCATATTCTGACGTGCTTCAAATCGTGACGTCATTCAGGGTCCCTTACCTTAAACGACAGGTGGAGTTTATATAACATTAAAGAGCATCAAACATTCGGCCTTTATGTTCTGGAGAGAAAAACAGGGGAAACCCCTTAGAGGACAAACTGCGCCCCCTGCTGTCACAGGTACAGGCGGGTAGTTTAAGAACAGGAAATACGCAACGCGTGTTTGTTTCTTACGTAGTTTTTTTACTTAAACATTTAAAACAACAACAACAAATAAACAAACACGAATTTCCACATACCAATTTCGCGTGATTGCTGCAAATCATTAATATGCTTATTAATGATTTATTTTTTTAATGTATACTGTTTAAAATATGAAATCAAACTAGTGTCAATAATTTCCTCTGGCGCTTTTGGCCACAAAAAAGGCTCATATTTAATTTTAACATCTTGTTTTTTGAATATTAGTTAGCTTGTTTTTTATTTCTTCATCTGTCTTTTCCAAAGAAAAAAGAAAATGTATATATATATATATATTATATAACATATATATTTTTCATATAAAAATATATATATTAAAAAATATTTAAATATTTTTAAAGAAGCAGGTATTTGATTCGCATTTCAAGTTATAAAATATACAAAACAGCTTGGGTGGATTTATTTTTCATTATGTTTGGTTTTCTGTTTATATTTTAAATAAATGTAGTTTAAAAAAATAAAAAATCAGAAACAAAGAAATCCTGTTTTGTGTACTGAACTCCATATTGTCACATAAAATGAAACTTTATACTAGCAGCATACAACCGAAGTGGAAAAGCAGTTCAGGACATTTGGACATCGGCCGTTTTTACGACACGATGCTCTAATAATCTGTACAGCTGGATAACATTTCCACTTTCATATCCGCTCGGGGCAAACACATCAAGGATTGCACAACTCTGTGGACAGAGAAGTAACAACACGAGCCGCTCGGCTGAACCAGAGTAAACACTGGGACGGTTTGTCCTCTGCAGGTCCAGGACAGAATGCGGCTGCTGGTCCTTCAGCTGATCTGCGCTGCCTTCTATCTGCAGGTTGGTGTCCAACGTTGACCTGAACTCACATTTTCTAGAGATCTAACATTCTGAGGGTTCAGTTATATTAATACTTTTAGCTCTACTCATTAACCTGAAGGAAAGGACAGTTACTTTCTGTTCTATCTGAAGCAAGGTGGGGGAAATACACAGATAAATACTAATGATCAGCCACAGCAGAATTATTAGAATGTGATGGACATTGATATTGGTCCAATATTCTCCAATAGGTGAATCCATGATAATATATGTCTTTATTTATTTCGATTGCAACAAAGTATCATTTGATTGAGCAAAGGGCAGCTGTGTTTAATATATGTACATATAATACAGACACGCACACACACACACACACACACACCCCCACACGCACAACCCCCCCACACACACACACCCACACACACGCACGCACGCACACACACACACGCACACACACACACACGCACGCACACACACACACACACATACATGAAATCATAATGAAAAATCTATTTTCTTTTTTCCAGTAATTGGATTGCCAATATGTTTTCATATTGTGTCCATTATCTTTTTTGAAAGATGTGTTTCTTTCATCATCATCAAAGAAGAAACAAAGAAATCCTGTTTGAAAAAGTGCCAGTGACCAGAATCACTGTAATTATTTACATCAGTTCTGGTCATTTTACCACATGAATACAGAAATGACCACATTTACATGGTAAAAATTGGTATTTATATTGTAAATCACCAGAATTTTACTACAAATTCTAGCAATTTTATTTCAAATTGCTAGAAAATGTATATTTTTCTATAAGTTTGTAGTAAAATACTGGCAGCCACAGCCGCCGTAATTTCACTGTAAATTAGAGAAGGTCTTTTTTTTTTTAGTTTGTGGCAAAGCATAATATACCTTATTGGGTGATTATAAAGAGATTTGTTTTGTTTTGTTTTTTGCTATTTAAGGTCTTTTTCTATTTGGTCAAAAATAAAAAGCAAACAGCCCTCATCCATCTTCAATTTTATGAGCTGTCTGAAAAACCTGAACGTATAATTAATCCTGAACTCTCAATGAATCCATCTCGTCTCCCTGCAGCCAACAACATGTCATCCATCATGTCAGTTGTGGGGACAGAAAGCGTACTGCACCGCCCAGAACTACACCTGGGTTCCTGTTCTGCCTCCCAACATCACCCATTTATATTTGGATATGAACTTCATCCATGAGATCAACAGGACTTCTCTCAGAGACTTAGTGGAACTCCAGGAATTAGACCTGGGAAGCCAGAAAGTAGTCCTCACCATCAGGAACGACTCTTTCCTCAGGCAGAGAAAGTTGATCACACTGGTTCTCGGCGACAATATTGGCCTTAACCTGGAGCCGCGGGCGTTCGCCGGGCTGGTCAGGTTAAGAGACCTCTGGCTGGATTACTGCTCTTTGAATGACTCCATACTGGCAGAAAACTACCTGGAGCCACTTCTGTCATTGGAAAGGCTCAACCTCTACGGGAACAACATAGTGAGACTCAACCCGGCTCAGTTCTTTTGGAATCTCACAAAGTTCTCCCAGTTAATTCTTCAGCTGAATCGCCTTCAGAAAATATGTGAGGAAGACTTAGTTGGCTTCCAGGGGAAATCTTTTCACCTCCTGGACTTGCGGTCGAACAGCTTCTTCAGATCTGATGTTGACTGGAAGGAATGTGGAAACCCTTTCAAAGGGATGGCCTTCAACATCCTTGATATCTCAGGAAGTGGAATGAATTTGGAGACATTAAAATTGTTTTTCGAAGCAATCAGGGGGACTCCAATTGCTCATCTGAAATGTTCTGGAAGTCTTGGAAAAGACTTTTCCTACAACAACTTGCCTGACCCAGACAAATACACTTTTCAAGGCCTGGAGGAGAGTTCAGTTGGTAATTTAGATCTATCAGGGAACAGGATTTTTGCTTTAAAGACTGGAGTCTTCAGGGCTCTGAAAGACGCGGTGATGATCGATATCTCCCAGAATAAGATCAACTTTATAGAGATAAACGCCTTCATTGGTCTGCAGAGGAATCTACTAAAACTCAACCTGTCGTCCAATCTGTTGGGAGAGATCCGCTCCAACACCTTCAACAGTCTGACGCAGCTTCTCATTTTGGACTTGTCTAACAACCACATTGGTGTCCTTGGAGACCAGGCTTTCAGTGGTCTTCCCCAGTTACATCATTTATATCTGACAGGAAACTCTCTGCGACAGCTGGCATCTCCTGCACCGCTACCCAATTTAGAGTATCTCCTCCTAAAAGACAATAAGTTGAATTCCATCAGCAGCATTATTGGCTTGTGGAACAGCAGTGTGTATTTAGATATTTCAGAAAACAGATTCACAAACCTGGAGGACATTTATGTTGTTTTAAGTCATTTCAAGCATCTGCTGTACTTTTATTATGGGGGTAACACCATTTTGTGGTGCACTATAAATACAGGGGTCTCCATGCCTCCAGGTAGTAGTTTAGCTTTGTTGGACCTTCATGGCAGTTCCCTCCAGGTCTCTTGGGAACTGGGGCATTGCCTTGACATATTTGATAATTTGCAGAATCTGATTGGTTTAAATATCAGCTTCAATTCCCTGATGACCCTTCCTCAAGGGATATTCAGGGGTCTCACCTCGATTAGAAATATTGATCTTTCGTCCAATGCCCTGACCTATCTGGAGGCCAGTGTTTTCCCAGCCAGCCTAA